CCAAACGAGCCCAAAACGTAAAGTCCGGACTGAGACAAAAAGTCGCGGCCGCGGGATCAAGTCGCTGCCGCGGAGTGCTAAAATTCCAGTTATTTTTTATGACCTTTGCAAGCTCGGGAAATGGAAGTTAGTGCCACAAATTCCGGACCAATGCCATGAATGGGGGACATTTGATCACCTTGGGGAGAAAAACATGTTGGATGGTCTATTCCAACTCCCCAACATCATCATCTCCATCACCAATTTTCTCCATTCTTCTTCTCCCTTCTTTTTCTTCATCTTCTTCTTCCTTCTTTTTTCTTCTTCTTCTCTCTTCTCCTTCTTCTTCTTCTTCTTCTTCTTCTTCTTTTTATTTTCTTTTCTTCTTATTGTATTTTGTATTTTGGACGAAGCTTGTATTGTGGATTCAACACTTGGCTTTGGATTGATTGTAAGTTTTTCTTCTTGTTTAATTCATGAAAATGGTTGAATTTGAAGAAATGAATTGTTGTGTTGAATTTATTGTATGTAGCTAATCCTCTAGCTAGGGGTAGGGGATAATCATTTCGGTTTAAGCTCGTTTATGTGCATGACGATAGCTCAATCTTGACGAGTTGTTTTAATTATGAATTGATAAATTAAACTTGGTAAATGTTTATAACCTAAGAGTGACACTTAGGTTAATTTGTTGATATAATCAAAGAGTGACAATTTGATTTGTGCTTGAACATGGATTTGTTAAGTTAAAGTTTGTTAATTCTTTGAATTGCGACTTTTAGAACCGAAAGGGGAGGAGTCGTAGAAATAATCGATTTCATAACCGAGAGGGGAGATATTGATGGAATTTGGCTCTTAAAGAGTAGGCATAACCGGAGACGTATTGTCTATGTGTTGATTGTCTCGTTTAATTGCTCGTTTATGATTCCTCTATCTACCGCGTAATGCTATGATGGTTGAGTCGTTAAACGAGTGGATGAGTCGAGGCCGTTAACCGAGTTATTGATTGCCATTAAATGAGTGTAGAACCGGAAGCGATTATTCCCGATTCCCTAGCATATTTATCTTTTCGTCGTTTATATTTTTAGGTAGATTATTGTTTTATGTTATTGTCTTAGTTTATCATCTTCCAACCCTATCATGATTAGAATGTTTAGGCTTTGTTTTCATTTTATGTGTTATCAACACCAATATTAAATTCCGAAGAGTCTTCCGCGAGAGATCGACCCGGGAAACGAATCATTCGATTCGGTGCTCGGTAAAATAAAAATAATTTGTCAACAACATGAATTAAGAGTCAGACTTAATAAGAAGTCTGGTGGTGACAGGAGTCCTTCTAGGGTAACCATCTTCGGGTATAAAAAGGGCAGGTTCTTTTCTTTTAAAGGGGGTAAGATACATACTTTGTTTTCTCCGTTCACTACTCCTCTGAAAATCCGTCACTGACTTGAGCGTCGGAGTGTTTGCACCGGGACCACCCAGGTGCGTTTTGCAGGTATTCAACGATCCAGGAGAAATAAACCGATTCGGGAGGAGTGGTTTAGCGGTTCAAGACAATTTAACATATCAAAGTTTAATCGGCAATATAATTCACCACCACGTGCGATGCATGTACACTTTAGTAGTTTATAAATAAAAGATAAAAGGTCAAGTGCATGACACCCCCTTTCTCTTTGTTTAAACATTTTACATTAATAACCTAACATATTATTTAGACAATATGAGTCTTTTTGTTTCCAATTATATTCCTTTTGTGGACTTTTTGAGGTTTTTAAAAATCTGGCTTTTTGACTTTTTAATAACCGTGAAACGGTTCATCCTCCTCCTTATATCTCCCCTTTCCGATAACCTATCTACCCCTTTTTAATTCCTTCTTCTCCTATATTTGTTCTTTTAAGATTTATATCTTAACTTTTTTTTTGTTTTTCTTTCATCGTCTTTTTTTCTTTAATTCTTGGTTTTGTAGAGTACATAATCTTTTTGTACCATAATTTTCCAGAGTGCTTTTTCCCCTCCATGAAGTTTGCTTCACTTTTAGTTCAATCAGGTGCGTATTTGAGCAAGTGCGAGCCGTACTGAGATTCACGCATCCTTTGTTTTGGGTGCGTATTTGCTTCACTTTGGTGTTGTTTTTTTTAATTTTTTATTTTTCTCTTGTCCATAATTCGTATTTTC